CCCCCGTCAGCCTGGTTGCCTTACGCAGCCTGCTTGTTCAGTCATTTGGTCGTCCCTCACTAACCCCCCTGCTGGCCTGGTCATAGGCAGCCATCTTGTGAGGGCATGAGGGTTAATTTGCATATTACCTCTTTATTATATAGGATGGAGAGTGCATGTGCATCATTCGGTGGTTTATTTGGCCTCCTCACTGTCTTAACGCTCTATGCTCCCCACCCAATAATTTGGGATTTTTACACCCTTCCAGTGACACATTGCTCTTCTCCCTAAACTGTCACCTCCATATTTGCCTTCATGTCAAACCACCCACTAAATATTTATAAAACACTAGAGGCCTGGTGCACAAAATTCATGCACCTAGGCCTGGCCAGCGATCCCTAGGCCTGGCCAGTGATTGAAGTGTGAGCATCTGGCATAGAAGGGCAGGTTCCAGCTGACCTCTGGGCCCTGGGCAGTATCTGGGACCCTGGGCCCCCGTGCACCCCCCTCCGTCTGAGTCACAGCGCCCAAGTCCCCACGTGGAGATATGGTGAGCGCGACCAGACGCCATGGGCCGGGGCACAGCGTGGGCCTCTGGGCCACCCAGCGGCGCCACACGGAAGCCAGGAGGGCAGCATGCTCTCTCCCGGCCGACTCCTGCCTTGTTACGTGCTGCCCCCCAGTGGTCAGCATACGTCATAGCGAGCGGTCGAACTCCCGGTTGACCGCCCACCTGAGGGGACAATTTGCATATTAGGCTTTTATTGTATAGGATTTCTACCTACCCTTTAAATTCTCCCCTAAAGGTGAATTTATGAGCTCCCTGCCATTGTTACCTACTCTTTTTTCTTCCAACACACTTTGTCTAGTGAGTCCATCTTGAAACCCAGTGAGATGAACATTCACTCAGATGCACGATATTTTCCTAATTGCCATCAAATACCTCTTGGTTTTGCTTCTTATTTTTTAGTCCCACCACTAAGATCTAGTTTACACTCTACATACTTTTATGCTCTTTCTCTTTGCCTCTCATTTCTCCTTTTGAGTTTTATCAGCACTTTTCAGGTTAAGTTTCCTACAAAAGTAGTTTTTGTTTTTATCTTTTAGTCATGTGTTCTTTTATTAGTCCACTTATTTATTCATTATATTGTATATTCAACGAATATTAAGTGCCAATCAGTGCCTCTTAAGAATGTAAATGTGGCCCTGGTCGGTGGCTGGGTTGGTTGGAGCATTGTCCCATTTGTGGGTTCAATTTCCGGTCCGGGGGTATATCCAAGTTGTGGGTTCCATCCCTGGTTGGGGCACATACCTAGGTTGTGGGTTTGATTCCTGGTCGGGGCATATATCAGAGGCAACTGATCAACGTTTCTCTCTCACATTGATGTTTCTCTCTCTCTCTCTCTCTCTCTCTCTCTCTGCCCTGAATCCTCTCTCTCTAAAAATCAATAAAAACATATCCTTGGGTGATAATTAAAAAAATAACATAAATGTGAACACAACAGACCTGGATTCTCCCTCACAAAATGGATAGTGTAGCAGCGAAGACAGACACCAGCAAATACATAGAAAATAAGTGAATTACACTGTGACAAGTGCTCCAAAGGTTCTCTCCCCTCCCTGAGCTCCTCTGGTGAGGGCTCTCACTAGTGTGCAGAGAGGGAATGAGGGCCCGGAGGCTGTAAATGGCCAGAGCATTTCCACCAGTGAAGCTGAGGCTGCTGAGAGTATTTTAGGTGGTGGGAGGGCCACAGCCAAGGAAGGATGCAGCCGGTATCTGGTAAATGTTGAGTAACGTGGCTGTGTGAGTAGGGTGTGTGTGAGAGAGAGAAGTGGAAGTGAGGGAATACGAATGGACGGCAGTGGGCGCTGTCTCCTGTGCTACTCAGTTATTCTCATAGGGCAGGTGGTGTTGCCTTGTTTTTCAGAGGAAAAATCCGAGGCTCAGAAAGGCTCATTTTCTGGACGTGGAGCTGGACCCAAGTGCATTCACAGCTCTGACCCAACCTTGGGCTATGACTGTTCATGCCCACCCAGGCTCCTGTGTGTTAGTGAGGAGCGCACGGGTCTTCCCAGGACACCAGCCTCACCAGCCCCGCTGAGGCTCCTACTCCCTCTGCAAATGCTGCCTTTATGACACTGGACCTGCAATCCTTGAGGACAAGGAACTGGCATCCTTGCATTTTCTCAGGGTTCCTAGCGCCTCGTCCTGCTGTGGGGAGACACTGTATAAATAGTTGTGAATATCTTTGCTAACATCTTTCCATCATGCCTCCTACTGAAGTTTACATTAGAACCACTCGACCACAGGTGCCTTCACTGAAAACAATCCCAGGTACAGGACTGTGCTGCTGGGTGTTGAACAGTTTCCTCAGTGCCCTCTGTTCCCTTTTTAAGGTTCACATGTGCACCAGACAAACAAGAAATGTATCAGCAGTGCTCTGTGACCACAACAAAAGTTGGAAATTAACAAGCAGCTCAGGTCATTCAGATGTGCAGCCAGGTGTGGGACTTCATCCTGTGGTTAGGTCTGTCTATGGAAATTTGGGGGATATTTGGATACTCAGGATGTATTAAATAACAGTGGCTTCTAGAAGAGACCTGCTCCTAGCCTTCCCCTCCCCTTTATACTAGTAAGGAGGCAAATTTGAACACCTGAAACAATAATTACTTGGGGGTGGGGTAGCAAATTGGAGTGTCAGGGTGTACAAATGTAGATTTCTGATAGAATGTAATAAAAAAAGGAACTAGTGCAAGGAGAAGTGGTGCCTTGAATTCAAGTGTGTGAGCGAGAAAGACAGAATGACAAAGACTGGGAGGAAAGTGACAGAAGGAGAGAGATCAGGCTCTTATTTCAAGAGTGTAGAAGCAAAATGCTGCTTTGTGCAGCATGCTCAGGTGGCGCGCTGCAAACGAAACGCTGTACTTCTCCACGTCTCCAGGATTTTTGCAGCCACTGCTAATTAGGACCAGAATATTGTGTGTGTTTCCTGGGCGGTGTTCTTTTCTCAGGCAAGCTCCTTAGGATTAGATGCTGTTAGGAAGGGAAAGCACCTGGCAGGGGCAACATGTAGAAATGATAAGAAAAGAAGATGGACTGAAGGATAGAGCTGGGGATTATCCCAAGAAGATGAAAGAGTATAAGATCTGAGAGAGAAATTTAGTAGAAAAGTTCAAAACCAGGTGTAAGAGAGAACACATCCCGGACTGTATGACTTTGGCTGAGGGATGTGGTTAGCAGTATGTGCATGTTGTTTGCTGTGACTGAATGATCTCCCTCCCCAGGAGGGAGAAACATCTCTTGAATTCACTGTTTGTGGGCAGGGAGGGCTGGGGCGCTCCAGGAGGGAAGTTAGTGTCAGACAGAACATGTTTGCACTTCCAGCTATTTACCTCCCAATGAGACCTGCATGCTATATTGGAAACAAATATACATGCATCTTACACAGTCGTGTTGGAAGTAAATGAAACACTTTTATAAAAGTAGTTGTGTCCTAGGAAGATTTTTTTTATAAATATAAAATATTTAATGATGCTCTATAGAGAAAACCAAACTTACTAAAAAATAACATTTTCCTTAAGGAAAAAGTACAACTAGATAATATGTAAATATGATGTGAAATTAACACCAGGCTAAATTTTAAACAATGAAAAGTTTTCAATGGTCAAAACTTACTCTGTAGGGGTCGCCCACATCAACTGCTTCTATTAAGACTTCAGGTTAGTTGACACTTTTAATAACTTTAGCAAGTTCCAAACTGGAAAAACCAGGTGTTGCCAGTGGAGGTTGAGGTGAACTGAAAGGTGGGCGGGTGCCACCACGGCCAGCCAGCATAGAGATGCTGTGGTTAGTGCACTTCCTGGACCTGAAGTGCAGCCCTGCGCCTGCAGACAAGGGCTTCACAGTGCACTTTTCTGTTTTTCAGGATGAGTCTTCAAGCCATGAATGTAACCAGCGCACCGTTCTTCTGTATGGTGTGGGCAAAGCACGTGATGAAGCGAGGCATCAGCTGAAGAAGATTACCAGAGATATTTTGAAAATCCTAAATAAGAAGAGCACCACAGAGATGGGGGGTAAAGAGCCCAAATGCACTTGCTCCCATTGTGCTGGCTTATGTCCTCCCCCTTAGCGCCGTCTTTATCAAGTTTGTAGATGGCAGTGTCCCCAGTGTTTCCTCTCCTGAATGACTGTCACATTGAAATATGAATAAGCACATTGAAATTTTAAGGCCTTGGTTCCATTTATAGTAATCCGTGTATTAAAATAGCACGTTTTATGAGTAGATGTAGGTAGTTTTTATTTTCTACTTTTTTTTTACTTCCCGAATTTTCTACAATAGTCAAAAATGAAGTATTGAAGAATGAGTTGGAAACCCCTTACTTTGGAAGTGATTCCCCTATTCTTTACCAGCCTTTTTCAAGCTTGTAGTTTGCTCTGGGTACTTATATTGCATGATAACTGAAAGTCATAACAGTGTAGTTGCTGATCTTTTCTTACATTATTCAGAAGAATAATCGCAATAGGTAATGGTGGCTACCGATATCACCAAATATTTTCAAGTGAAAAAGAAAATTAGGCCTTTGCTCTATAATGCCTTCTTTACTTGGAATACTCTTTCCCCTGGCCTTTTACATAGTTTTAACAGTGAAGCTACGCCTTTACATTATGTCACTACATTGCATAATTGAAATTTTGTAATTATCCACTTTACATTTCCCTAATTACTCTTTTCAAGGTTTGTTTATTTTATTAGGTAGTCATATGATTTAAAATATGATATAATATATACTCCACTACCACCAGTGGTATTTCTTTTTCTACTACTTAAATAATACAAGGGGGGAGGTTTCAATTTTCCCTATGCAAACAGCACACTTCCTGCACTTGGTATAAGCCACCTCTAGAAACCCTACTTTGATGTTCAATACGAAATAAATACTCTTTTATGAACCCCTCCACAGGGGATCCTTTAGACTTTAAGCAGATGAATTTCTAGAGCTTGTCCATGCTAGATCTTTCCTACAGGAAAGTGCAGATATAACTAATGCAAATAGCTCTCTTTCCTCTCCATCAATAGAGGGGCACAGCAGAAACAAGGTACAAGGCTCTCTTTTCACTCTGAATGTCATGTTGCCACTGTATTAGTCACAGGCTAGTCCTCAGAGCACACACAATGGAAAATCGACCTTCATGTGATTTGCATCATGTTCCCTAACTTCCTTCTATTGCTGGTTAAGGACCTTGCACTTCACCAGCTTGCCAGGGGACAACCAGGAGTCCTGGAAGGGAAATGAAACCCTGTTGTTGTTGGTTTGTCCTTATTGAGCTTGCAAAGAACACAATTGCTAAGAAAAACTGTTGATCTGTCCCTTTGCTTTTTTCTCTTTTTTTGAGAAAGAGGAAATGGGTTGCATTTAGAAGGTTGGATTTAGAAGCCGTGTTAAGTAGGGAACAGAAGCTACTGAAACTCCTCTTTGTGTACTTGAGAATGGGGTGGACACTATCTCAGTTGAAAGGTTCAGTAATACATTTTTTAAAAAATTTTAAATTAATTTTAGAGTCTTTCCAGATCCTATGGAATTTTTGGTTTTTGGAAAGCTGAGAGGGTAGGAAGAGGAAGGAAGCAATGTGGTATCTTTTTCTGTTGAGTCTACTTCCTTCCTTCATAGTTTTTTATGCCAGACTATAGTCTCTGCTATCTTTGTATCAGTTTCTTAAATAGGCAAGTCTTGCTTATGAACTCACAGAGACAATTGTTGTTCATGCTGCTTTTCAAGATACCAGTGATGGAAACACCACTGTGAAGAGGCATCTTCAAAGTGGATTTTTGTCTTTCCCTCATTTTAAAATCCCTCACCCAGAAATGTTTAATTAGATCTATCTTTTGATAGTCCACATATAAGTCACTGCTTAAAACCTAGTGTGCTCACCAGAAGCTAGCTAACTATTCTTAGATTAAGGAAATTTGCGCGCTTTTGTCAGTGAAGATGAGCATTGATAAGGCAGGAAAAGGGAGCTTGTGTAAGCATGTATTTGATTTCTGGCTACACTAAAAATATGATTTTTAGGAACTCCATTAGGAGTGTTATCACATCAACCAGGCTTTATCTAGGGGCATTTATAATCTAAAACTTTTATGACATTTCCAGTTGAAGGTGGTCAAACCTATTTTACATTTATATGACTAGTCCAGTGATTCTCAACCTTCTGGCCCTTTAAATACAGTTCCTCATGTTGTGACCCCCAACCATAAAATTATTTTCGTTTCTACTTCATAACTGTAATGTTGCTACTGTTATGAATCATAATGTAAATATCTGATATGCAGGATGGTCTTAGGCAACCCCTGTGAAAGGGTTGTTCGACCCCCAAAGGGGTTGCGACCCACAGGTTGAGAACCGCTGGACTAGTCCGTCATCTTTGTGTTTCAATGGTGCATCTTTGGAAAATATTAATGAGGTTTATCAAACTAGAAGGCCAAAACTTGTAGGGTTTAAAGATTTTGAAAAAAAGACAACCAAAATTAAGCAACTAAAGAATAATAATATCTATTACTATGAATTATGACTGTTATTCATGTGAATATTAAAATAAAGTATTCCATTGAAAACCACCACTAATATTTTTATATTTTTAAAAATGAATATGAATTGCCAATAACCAATTGTATATTTTTATGTGAGATTTTAAGAAGTTAGCTATAGCTTATTAGCATAAACAAACAAACAAAAGAGATGCATCTGTGAGTTCTCATGATGGATCTACTTCCTCATCTGTGTTATTTTAGTTTGTTTTTTTGCTTTGGTCCCAGGAAGGACTAAATAATTATCTTAACTTCAATTTTAAAGCACATTGTACCCAACATGGTTGGTGTGCGCTTTCAGCCTTGGATCAGTGGGGTTAGTTAATGAAAAATTCCAAACTTGGATATTTTAAACATGCTCATGACACGTGATCAGCTAAACGGAAAACTAAATAGGTTTGATGAACTTACTAGTTTTCGTTCTTTGGTGTTATTGGTGAAAGTGGCACAGTCTTGTACCTTATGTTGCTCGTCACCTTTTAATTCTGATTTACTCTGGTTTCAGGGCTTGTTTGTTTGTTTGTTTGTTTGTTTTAGGAAATGAACAGAAAAAAGCCAGAGTTTTTATTTGGTGGGCAGAGGGAAGACTTTGGTGAGGGCTTAAATTGTAATTGCTTATTGTTGAAAGGGAAGTATCCTGTCTTCTAATGTTATTTTTTAACATCATTACATTTGTCATTAACAAAATCTTATGCTGTTTAGTGAAGTTGTTGTTAGTTTAATAGAGGGGTTTAATAACCTTTGTCTCTGAATTAAACTTTTCCAAATAAAATGTGAGGGATTAGGCAAAAAAAAAAAAAAAGCACAAAAACCCTCTTAAACATAACAGTATGGTGATTGTGGGGGGGAGTGGGGGGACAGGTAGAAGAGGGCCGGGCAGAAATGTGAGTGATAGTGCTCTTGTCACCGTAGCCTTTGACTAGTTAGAATCCTTGTTTTGGAAATGACCTTAGACATCATATAATCCAACCTTTTCTTTTTGTTTTTAGATTTATCTTTGTATACACATACATTACAAAATATTTAAAAACTGGATCTAATTATTTTTGGATGTTATCCTTTAAACTTTTAAGAAAGAACAAAGAGTCCCTCTGGGATAGCATATTTTAAAACATTTTTATTGTAATTTTTTCAAAGTTCTTTATGCTAAAATAAGTGTTGCATTTTCCCATTAATGTGGAGGAATTTTATTTTTTTCTGCCCCTAAAATAGTTAGGAATCATGTGTGTAAATTTTCTTTTTTACATATTAAGCTGTTTGGGAAAATATCACAGTAAGTCTCCTAAGAAGATGCCAGTGAAGCTTCCTATTAAATCAGAATGAGCCTGGGTGATTTCCCCACTTCCTTGTTAAGGTCTTCTATTTCAAAAGTCAGTTAGTTAGAAATGTTCCTGGAGGTGCTGGTCATAGTAACCAAAATCTAGAAACAACTCACTGTAAAGTATAAATAAATAGTGGTGTAGTCAAACACTGCAATATGGTACAAAGTGGGAAGTGTTAATTTTAGGAGAAATTAATATTGCAATAACAATATGGATTAATCCAGAAACACAATGTTGAGTGAAAGATGCCAGATATTAGATGTATATATTGTATGGTTGTAGTTATATAAAGTTCCGAGGTGGGCAGTATTAGTCTAAGCTGTTAGGAGTTGGGATCTCTGTCCCGGTGGGAAAGAGAAGTGGCTGGAGGGGAACCCATCAAGTGTGTAGTGTTCTGATATGTGATTTTGTGATTTGAGTTTCATTACGAGTGTATTTAATTTGTAGAGATTCATAGAGTTTGTGCACTTTTTTGTCTGTATGTTATATTAATTTGTAGAGATTCATAGAGTTTGTGCACTTTTTTTGTCTGTATGTTATATTTCAATAAAAACAGTATCATTGAAAAATCAAGAGTTTCTGTTGAATGAAAAATAATGTGTTACTATATGTTTATTAGTTGGAGATGAAGGACCAAGAGCCAGGAAGAACAGACAGGAGGCATTTCCAACGCTGGAGACTGTGTTCACAAAACTTCAGCTCCTTTCGTATTTTGATCAGCATCAAGTAACATCTCAGGTAGCCATTTAAAGCTGTTTATTATACATTTGGGATATTCATATTTCCTTAAAAGTCTCCTATGTAGTATATGTTTCTGGCCTTAGTTGGTTTTATAAATATGCTTTTAAAACATATTTGGAAGCATCCATCTCAAACTATTGAGTAGCTCAGTTTTAAGGGTCAGGTTGTCTTCCTCAGAAGAATTAATTTTTATTTTGAAAATATTTTACCTTATGGTAATAATCAACATTATGTAAAATATCTCTAATGTAATGCTCATGTTTTTACACTATGGTCCTACATTGCTATTAATAAGGGAGAAATCTGTTCATGATAAATAAAGTACAGTTGAGAAGAAACCAACTCTGTTTTATTTTATAAATCCATTGATATTCAAATAGATATTATCTGGAAATTAATTAATACTTCAAGTCATCATGGGTCTAGGTCTTATGATGACTTGGCTTATTTCTTCAGTTATAGTTGCAGTAAGGAAGTCAATTTGTACATGGTTTGGGTTTCTGTAGAAATAGGTTTTAACTGTCTTATAAGTAGAATCACATATAAATTCAAATTTCTTAATAAATAAAAATTATTTGGATATTGGCCTTATCATTATTTTCACCTTTTTTGCACAGATCTCTAACAATGTGCTGGAGCAGATCACAAGCTTTGCGTCCGGGACTTCCTATCACCTCCCTTTAGCTCACCATATTCAGCTCATCTTCGACCTCATGGAGCCAGCACTGAACATTAATGGACTAATTGACTTCTCAATACAGGTGTCAAAGAGACCCTGCTTCTCTCATTTTAGGAAAGAAAATGTACCAGGCATTGTCCAATTAAAAATGAGCCACCCAGGGCATTTTTTAATAATTGAGACATTCTGAATCAACTGTATTCAAATAGCTTTTTAATTGCAGCTTTGTTCATAGTTTTCAGTTAAATAATTATAATACTGTGCTAAAATATATACTAGTAATAGTCATTAAAAAATGGGAATGTTTTGAGGGTATTTTTTTGTCTTTTTATTACTTTGAGAAAGATGAAAGGTTGTTTGCTGTTTATAATAGAGTATATTTTAGGTTAAGAGCAAAACAATAGAACCTTATAATTTGATTTGCCCTGCTATATTTTATATATATATATATATATATGTGTGTATATATA